TCAAGAGTCAGATGCTTAACCAACTGAGCCACTCAGATGCCCCTATTTATTCATTTTTTAATGTTTCTTTATTTTTTGAGAGAGAAGGAAAGAGAGCGTGAGCAAAGGAGGGGCAGAGAGAGAGGGAGACAGAGGATCTGAAGCAGGTTCCCTGCTGACAGCAGAGAGCCTAATGTGGGGCTGGAACCTTGAGATCATGACCTGAGCCGAATTCAGACGCTTAACCGACAGAGCCACCCAGGCACCCCAAGTATGCTATTTATTGTTGGAACCTTGATTGATGTTATGGCCACACAGGAGCCTGCACAGAAGTACATCTTGGAGACTAAGCTGCCAGATTGAGAGCCTATCACATCCTTATTAAACCTTTTAGATCCTCCTATCAGCTTGTCTTCCCTTTAGCCTGCAACTAAAGAACTTTGCGAAGTAGGCAGGGCTATTCAGTCTTCCAATTCCTTCCTTGCTCTTTGCCTCCATCTATCCTATCCTTCCTCCCCACCACCACATGCATCCAAACCTCTATTCTCTGCCTCGATAAAAACCACAGTGTAAATCACACTTCTGTAGGATTTGGCTAAATTGCTTTATCATGTTTGAATACTTTAAGAGGAAATCAGTAAGGAAAATAACTCTAACAAAGAACCTAGGTAGGAGAAATGTATCAGGGTCGCAGACATCACCGCAATCAAACCATATAAACCTAGTAGAGCTTGGGCCATGGCAGCTTCCAAAGAAAGAAGGTTCCTATAGCAGCTGAGTCTCTGAGTCAAACAAGGGAGTGGAAATATTTCTGTCTTTAGTTGCAATTACCATTAGAGATTTGCTCTGGGAGACCATTTGTGGCCAGTTGTGCCCTAAAGTCACTTAGCCGGGCTTTCATCAAGCAACTGCAGTTTCTCTTTGGATTTTGGTTCCTTCGCCCCACCTCAAAGTTTTTCCTAGTGTTCCTTTCCTACACAAACAAATAGAACAATTTATACCAGGACTCGATGAAGAGAGGAAGTTTGCTCTGACAAAGTAGTCTTCTGAGAAACCAGAGCATGGAGACTACAAAAGGAAAAATGCTCAGAAATGAAACAGCTTTCAGTTTCATCCTCCTGTGGTTAAACTCCGAGAGAAAAAAAAAAAAGTCGGGGGAAGAAGAAGAAAAAAAAAGTTTTAAACGAATAGGCTGTTACCTGTCAAGTTTTGCACCCACATGGCTGCCCGGTATTCCTGTGGGGAAATCAGTGGTACAGTCTGGAAAGAGGAAACCATACGCTTCTTTTTTATTTCAATTTATTGTTGTCAACAACTCCTCAATACAATAGTAATGTTTTCTACATGAAGATTCCCAGCAAATAGATGCCTGAGAAAAGTTACTTTAGGGTAATGATTTTGGAGGGGTGAGAAATCATAAATCTAGCATGGACAAAACCATGAAGGCATTTGAAGTAGTAATTCTCATTGACAACTAAGTAAAACCAAGTGCATTGCGGCCGATGGGATACAAATCAAATCCTGGCACGTTTGCTGTGTGGGGCATGATTTAAATGAACCCACCTCAAGTTGGTTGAACTGTTAGAATTCTATTTTCATGAATATATATATATATATATATATATAATTATATCCAGTTCTGTGTAATAAAGCTATTTTTTTCATGTCCCAGCTAACAACCCAAACCATCCCAGTACTATTCAATACTGCTTTGAAACTGTGGATCCAATGGATTCCATTGAATGAAAACTACTGTATGACAAAAAATTCACAATTCCTTGTCTGTGGAATAGTCAACGGATGTAATGGGATAATGTATTATGTATAAAATATAGCACCAGTAGTTGAATTCCTGTGAAATGTTAACTATTCGAACTCAAATTTGACATATGCTTCAAAATGTTCGGGATCACCCATTGATTTTTAAAAAGGACGGTGCTTCCTGGTAAGCAGCAGCTCAGAGTAGAAAGAGCACTGGACCTGGAGTCAGATGCGAGGCAGGTTGATTTCTCTAAACACTCTAATATCCTTTTCCAGACCTAATGTTCTATGACCTTTTGCTACTGAATCTTGAGAGTTTGGTTTTTCGGAGGTATTTTTTAAGTGGTTTTCAAGTTATAGTCTTCAAGTCTTTTGTTTCTTTGGTTTTTAAAAGATTCGCTCTGAAACTCGAATCTGGTAAGGAAAGGGGTTGGGGGAAGACAGTTTCGTCGTTTTGTTTTGTTTTGTATTTTCCACAGATCTGCCATCGAATATCTTTTGTCGCTTGTTAGTAGAGGTCAGCTCCCCTCTACTGAGTTGCAAGTGGGAAGCGGATTCTGAAACACCCTAGTAGCGCCTCCTGCCACAAGCGGAGAGAAAAACAGTATCTGAGAGACTAGATCGCTGTGGTGTGTTTACAGGACTGGCTCAGATTCCTGAGATTAAATAGCTTAGAATTTCTTAAGAGAGTTCACTTAGGCACATGTTGCTTTTGTTCTCAGATTTCCTTCTCCCCCACCCCGCTTGTGATTACGGCTTGTGATCAGTGTCCGACCAATAGGAATCATGAGCTTTAAACGTCCAAAATGGACCACATCTTGCTCTCCAATCTCGCTTCTCTCTTGTGTTCCCAGTCTTGATCAACAACATCACCATCACGCCGGTTCCAGCCACGCTCAAAACCGTGGAGTCATTCTCGACTCTTCCTTCTCCCTCATTCCCCAGGCTTGGCCTCTCCGACCCACCCTTCCTATTGTGGCTGCCAAAGTGCTCTTTCTGAAGTGCGAATATGATCACAGAGCTTCCCTGCTTAAAAGACTTTAATGACTCCTTTTCACTTACTGGATTAAACCCCAGCCCTCTCTCTAGGGCTCTCTCTCTAGTCTAATCCCGGCTCTCAGCCGGTATCTCTCTCTAGTCTAATCCCCTGCCACTCCTGGTCATTCCTCTGAGCCCCTTACACTCCAGCCACACGAACTGCCCCCAGTTACCCAAACACACCGTGGTCTTTCGTGATCGTGACTTTGCAGGTGAAATTCCCTCTGCTACCTTCTCAGCTCAAGTTAGTTACTTTTCCTCATGTTCCCCTAGCATTTCCACATACTGGTTTTATAACTCGTCACACGAGTTCCTAGTCACTTCTCTGCTTGTATGTCTTCACTACCAGACTGCCAGTTCCCTGTTTTGGGAGAGCATAAACAGTATAGAGGACATTCAGACTCCGGATGCTTCTAGATGGCATTTCAGCTTACTTTGGACCCGGAGACCCTATGCCATTCGCAAATGCTCGCTTTTTCTTCTTGTCCCAGCCCTCCCCCTGGTGGAGGTGTTAAGACGCAGTGGAATGATCCCATGGCCAAAGCTAAGACAAAGCAGCCTGGCCGATCCACAACCTGGGTAAACATCGGCCTCATGTCGTTTTCTAGCCAAATGGAACGCTAGCAACGGGCCTTGGATTTAGGGTGACCCGGCAGGAGCTCTCTGTCTCGCCACGTATCAGTTGGCAGACCATGATTTCAATCCCCAGGGCTGTAGCCGGGGGTCAACACGCCCATCCCCGATGTTCTCAAAGAACATTATAGTACTGTCAAGCAGACAGCCCAAGAATAATTCGCTGGCGGAAATCTTCCTTGTTTTTTCCTTTCCCTGAAGCCGAGGCAGACCTGCATGCAAGGATGTTGGCCTTTGGATGATGACACCACAGAGCAAGGAATCAAATACCGGTCACATCCACATGGTAGGTATTCTCCCCAGTCGCTATGGACCCCGCCTCCCAAAAAAGTCATAGGAAAGGTCTTCGTTTCTATTCCAGAACGATATCCAGTTAGCACTGCTTTCTGTCCCACTTGAAGATAACCTAGTCTTCAAATCAGTATTTGTTTTAGTTGCCCATTTGAGACAGCCAGTCCCTCAAGCACCCTTGGGTATAGAGTTCTCTAGGCCTGGTAGCCCTAGGTGTATTCTGGGTTGGTCTGATCGGCGATTCCCAGGGAAGGAACTTGCCAGGCAGGTTAAGACAAAAACAAACAAACAAAAAAAGGTTAGTTATCAGCCTGGTTGGGAGGAATCTCACCTCTCAAAACAACAGAATCTTACAAAACACGATGAATTTCAAACCATCATAGAAAGTCTCCTTCATGGCCCTTGTGAATTTTATCAGACACTATGTTTACACTACGGTGAGAGGCTTGTAGCAGCAAGAACGGTTTTCGTTTAAGTGGGGGCAGGGGGAGGAAATTAATAGAATCTATTTGTCATCAGGAGAGACTACCTTTAAAAAATCAATGCCACAATGTCATTTTACACATATGTCAAAGGCAAGGAAAGATCATCTGCTGTCTTAAGTGTCCGTCTGGCTGTGTCCTGATTGAAGAAAAAGAATTCAGGAACTACCAGGGGTCCATGAAATAGAACAGGAACAGAACTAGCGGAAGTGGCCCCTGAAGTTCTTAGGTTTCTATGTTCAGAGTAAAGATTACCCTCCCCACAAAACGATCATTGATGACATCATTTATGATGCCCTTGCCCTTCAGTTGGCACTGCACGGGCACCGCCTGGTTCTTCACCACGTCTGTAAAGTGCATGGCCACCAGTGGGGAGGTGTAGTTAACCTGTAGGCGGAAGAACAATGAATCCTCAGTGTGAGGAGGGGACAGGGCGGGGGTGGGTCACAGGATGGAAGGGATCAGATAGTCAGTGCGGGATGGGATAACCCCTCGCAAAGGGAACCGAGCAAACCCCATGATGCCAAGTCACAGATGGCTAAAGCCAGTGACATGCCCGCTCTGCCCTGGGACAGTGGGGGAAATCACACATTTCTCTTGTAAGTCCCTCTCAGATGTCTGACTGTCCTCTGGGGAAAACGAATTCTGCCTCTGCGTGATATGATTTCCTGGATATCAGACCATGAGTCAAAGCAGAACTAGGATCTTTCAAACCTCTACGCCAGAGATGAAGCCTCACCGTATGACCCACAACCACTGCCCTGGGGCTTCCACTGGGCGGAACAGGCAAGTGTGATTATTTGGGCACAGCTGAGTGCAACGACAGTGATTTGTCTCCTCCCGGCTCTGTCACTAATTAGCTGTGTGTGTCGGGCAAGTCACTGTCCCTCTCCGAACCCTAATTTCTCCATCTGTAAACTGAAGGAGTCAGACCAGACCCTATCTGAGATTCCTTCAGATATGGAAAGCAGCGGTTGTACTGGGAATTGGTAGAGGGGGCTGCTGGTCTTGGCCGGCAGCTACTCACCCCGCTGACTCCTAATTCCTAATTCCTAATTAGGCTGCTTCCTAATTCCCGTAGATACCAAACAGCCCTTCCTTCCTGTGTCTCTGAGCCCTTTCTGACAGCAAAGACTGAAAAGGATACAGGCTTACGTGAGTCAGTTTGCCGTAGTAAGGGTAGTAGCGAAGGTCAAAAGAAGCCGACTCTGGGTAGTAATTGATGGATCGGATGTCATTTTCATCACCTCTCTGTAAGTAAAAGCAGGTATATGACGGATGCCGGGTCTCTCGGTGAGTTGGAGCCTGAGCTCAAGGGGCCTGTGCCCCAGGTGAAATCACTGTGTGACCCACAACCTACTGTCCCAGGAAGACCCACGAAAGCAGAATGGGGCATAGCTTACCCCAGACCTATCCCCCAGAGCATTTCCAGAAAGAGATTGTGCCTTGGTTTCCAGTTCCAAGATTACTGAATGGAAGGTCTGGACTGGGGAGTCCCAAGGTGCTCCATATGGTTCTGCACTGGCTCCTAGAGGAGCCAGACGGAGGACTCCAAAGGGCTTGCCTTAGCTGCTCCAGCACAAGAGCCTACACACCAGGCCCTCTCCAAAGAACTCATACTGGGCCTGGCACCCGGTCTTGGACCTTGAGGCAGGTGTAAGTTAGACCATGTCTAGATAATCCCACTGCACGACGACTCGTACACCGTGGGCTCGGTTCATGGCATGTCACACCAGGTGCACAGGGACCTGACTCATAGGGACACAGCCTAGAGTCTGGCCCACCTAAACTCATGTCTCTGACCATATTCTCTGCTTAAGCACAGCAGGTGACGTCAGGACGATAAGCAAGAGGGGACCCATAACTGGAAATGATTAAATAAACAACTCTACCATCATCATAGCGTATCAGGTAGGGGACTGAGCTGTCTGGCTATGCATTAGGCTTGTCCTAAATAGCAGAGGGCTGGGGGCTGATAAGGGACAGACACTGCATCACCAGCAGCAAATCACTCACGGGGGGCATGTGATTACTTCTGTCAATATAGTGTAATCGTTCATACGATACGCCTTAATTCATTCTAGTAATTACCTTATCCTGCTTGATTTCCACAAGTGGGTGTGGATTTCGACCAATATTGATTACTATACAGTGTGTAAAGACTTAATATTGCTTGTTGTCTTTTGAAAGGACAGTTCTCAGCAAGAGTCTGTGTAAGCTGAAAAATGAATGGCTTCCACTAGGGAACCGTAAGCAGGATTCTATCCACTTAATACGCTGGTTTAGGACTGAGTTGGTCTTTATGATTTAGTTACACATTCCTCTAAAAAGCAATGAAATTCATTTTTTTGTGTGAATACTCTGTGGAATCGGTCCCACTAGTTTGTAGTCACACCTCACGTGTGTGTTTACACATACCCATGTACGTGTGCACACAATGAATGTCCTTCCTACCTTGTTCACCCGGCAAACCCCTGCCTGACCTTTCAAAACTCATCATCGGGGCGCCTGGGTGGCTCGGTCGGTTAAGCGTCCGACTCTTGATTTTGGCTCAGGTCATGGTCTCGCGGTTCGTGAGTTCAAGCCCCACATCGAGCTCTGGGCTGCCAGCGCGGAGCCTGCTCGGGGTTCTCTCTCTTCCTTTCTCTCTGCCCCTACCCTGCTTGCGCTTTCTCAAAATAAATAAATAAATAAACTTAAAAAAAAAAAAACCCAAAAACCTCATCTTCAGTGTCACCATCTCCCACGTGGAACGAACCTTTCCCTCTTCAATGTCCCCGCTCCACCTTTCATAGCAGCTGTAATACGCAATTGCCCTGACTTCGGAGACAGAGTCATATTTATCTTGGCACCCCCAGCACCTAGCAAAGTACCTGGTATATAATAAGTGATCGACACACGCTTGCTGAATACATGCCGCCTTTTGCTGCTTTCTGATCTGTCACCGTCCAGCCTGAAGCTTTGAGCTGTATCTCTAGTACTGAGAATGGGATCACCCAGCTTCACACACCAGGTCTTGCAACTGTCCAGGGCTGGGGGGTGCAGTCGATGTTACGAAACCAGAGGGAGCTACTGCTTCCGGTCTGGGAAGCAAACCCAAGATCTAGGGCTTTTTCCTACAAAGGAGCTAATTGGCGCAGATGAGATAGGAGTTAATGGTCTCCCGAAGGACAGTTAATTAGCATATTAATGGAGTTCTGTTTCTACTTCCCTTGTAGTCATTTGTTATTGCAACACCCAGTGCCACTGGTCATTGCTGCAAAAAGTGAAATTCTGTTTTAAAAGCAGGGACTAATGACTCTAATGAAAGCTGTTTGTTTAGTTCAAAGAAACAAGTAATTAGAGGTAAAAGCAAAAGCGTAAACAGAATCCCAATTAATGACGTGGCACACTGTCGTTCCCTGCTGTGGGCCTTAGCTGAGGCTCTTCTTCGGCTTTCACAGGTGTATATCAGCACAGGCACACACGCACCCACATGACCTGAATGCTTTCTGGCAGTGCGGAGGCCTGAAGGTACTAAAGGGAGGTGTAGTTATGAAAAGATTAACCCTTTCCCTAACCCATAGCCAATCATCCATGGGGAAGCCCTTGGAAGGGATGAGCCATCTTTTTGCGTAAAATAGATGTGCTAACAGTACCTATTCAAAAAGGCATTTTAGGGGCACCTGGGTGGCTCAGATGGTTAAGCGTCTGACTTTGGTTCAGGTCATGATCTCCCGGTTTGTGAGATCGAGCCCCGCATTGGGCTCTGCACTGACAGTGCAGAGCCTGCTTGGGATTCTGTGTCTCCCTCTCTCTCTGCCCCTGTCCTGTGCGCTCTCTCTCCCAAAATGAATAAATAAACTTTAAAAAAAAAGGCACTTTACCTGAACTTTGCAGGAAACCTTCACAGGATCTCCAAGTTCAGGACGGAAGCCTACAATCTGAAAAGAAAAGCCAGCGTTGTATATATATATATATATATAT